AGAGACGGTTTCCAGGGTTAGGTCCCACATTGCCATGACAACTCTTGACCATCTAGCGTAAAACGCCCTTAGACTCTCTCCATAATTTTGATTTATGTCGATCAAGGCCTTGAGGTGGAGCGGCCGCATTTTTGCATAAAGTTGTGTTCGAATTTGTATGGAGTTGCATTCACAGACAAAATGTGCTAACCTTTTCCTCCGGGTCTATTGTTCCATTGTATGTGGGTAGGGCGGGTGGGATTCCACTTAGATGTTCCGCCAAGATTTCCACGCATAATGGTTGATGGAGGGTATTTTGGGCTAAGCGCGATAATGCGGGTATAGATGTTGCTCCAAGAAGTTCATATCCGCCCTTAAGGTGGCGCTGCTCGTTGCTCGTGAGGTTCAGGAGGGCTCTCCTCTCGACAAGGGTCTGTTCCGTTGGCGCGGGGCTTCTTTGTTCTCATGAGTGTAATGACCTGGTTCATCTTATTTGGCTTGTCTACGATTCCTTCGTTTTGTTAGGCCATTTGCTAGTGTACTTCCTTGGTGGTTAGTTTCGACTTCTCTTCCTCTATTAACACCGCGTTCTGATTGTTGGTTTCCGCGAATAGTCTTGAGTTTTTCATTGCTTTGACTGGCGTCGCCTCATTTGGGTTGCTTGAAGCCTATCCTGACATTGTAGTTTGGATTGTTCTTTCTTTTCACTCGCAACCCCGCGGTGGGCGATAATTGTTTGTGCCTAACTGAGCCGTATGAATGCGACACTCAAGATTGGGGAGCGAGTAAAAGAAATCGTTATTGGCAGGAAGAGGTTACAAAGAGTAGAAAGAGATGATTTCTAGAAAGAGATGTTTACAATGGTAGAGAGAGAATTCAAAAACCGATCTCCTCACCCACCAAAGTAATGCTCTATTTATAGACCTTACTTTGGTGGGTCAACATTAAATGCGACGAGACATTCGAGCAAGTGGGAGATATGGGCTATGACCACACTCTCTTCGAGACATGAGCCTTTGTCAGTGACACGATGACGTTTTGAGTTCCTCCGCATCCTGGCGCATTGCCCTTAGTCGCTCCATGCCTTAGCTGTTCTTTTTCTTGCTTATGCTTCTTCCGTACTGCTAGCACCAACATCTGCGTGGGGCGGGCCACGCTAGTACCCACGCCATGCCCCCAACAGAATTCTTCCTCTCTTCAAACCCTAAGACATAGATCTAGATCTTTACAGTTGGTATAAGAGCATGCGCTTGAGTGAACTAAATACTACAAAGAAATCTTTCTATGGTCTCCTCATTCCTTGGCACTGCCTCCCATAATTGCGTGCCAAACGATGAGGAGAAAATAAATAAAAGAGTTACCTAGAATAGTCTGTACTATTTTCAGGACATGAAGTAGCTATATTTTAGTGAACCACGTTAAAAATCGCGTGTGTCATCTTTCTTCTCTTTCATTTAGTATCTTTTACTCTATTTTGTCTAGAGCTCTCTGTTGTTCTGGTTGGAAAACACAACCTCGGTTCTGAGCTTCCTTATTCCTTCACATACAATTGATAAAGTGGGCTTCATTGGCTCCAAGCTTGTTTACTTAGTTCAACTCATAATCGTGGCCACGTTCTTATCGAAACCCATATGTTCAGTGAGCTAAATGACACAAAGAAATCTTTCCATGAAGAGCTTTGGATGGTTGTTCAAACTTGTTACGAGTTCGAGCCGACGTGAAAACAACCGCACTAAGATTGTGGAAGTTGTGAAGGCTTTGCACTTGTTTTGGGGCTTTTGATGTACAGAGGTTAGAGTGGTTTAATGTTTGGGGTGCTGGGCTGCTATTGTTTTCATCTTCTCCTCTAGATCCTGTGATGCTTTCTTGTGGGGTGTTTCACGCAGGGGTGGCCTAGTCCACCAAGCGTGTACTGTTGACGAAGTTTGTTGTTTTTTCTTTCTTTTTTCTTTCCTTTCTTCCTCGCTTCTGTTTTGGATCATATCTCTTGATCTATGTACTCTCTTTATTATTCAGTTTGTTCAATAAATCATTGTCATTATCAAAAAAGATTATGCGATAGCTAGCTCTTAGGAATTTACTATTTTGCTTTGTGTATATATAACCCTCACAAGAGTAATTAACTTTAAACTACTTTGAGGGTCTGAATCTAACGAAACCAAACCATGGTTCAACTTTAACGACTTTTGAGTGCCTAAATCTAGCCAAACCAAACCATGAATTATGAAATGCCCTGAATTTGGAAGCATACAAACTCCCCTTGCTCAAGCTCGCTCTCCAGCCTCTCCGCTCAAGAAGTTGTAGATTCTATATAGCCTGAAAACTTCTCACCAGACAAAAGCTGCAGACGTTTCACACGTACAGTTCGGTCGATCCTCCCCACCTCAAAGTTGGACGGAACTATCAACAGGCAGCCATTGACGCCAAAAATGGGCACTCTGGCGGCCGTACGTTTTCTTTAAGCTCTCTCTTTCCCAGCCAGACTGGTCAAATTTTGATAACACGGGAGGGAAGTAATTAGGTTCGTATATACTTTTTCCAGGTTAGGTATACAACTCAAAGACAGGATATATAGCTTTGCACCTCAGGTGCTACCTTCTCAAACGTCTATAGTATCAGTAAGGTTAAAGCAACAGATACGTGTTTAAACATTTCCCACAATTTTGTAATTGCGAATTAGTAAGTGGGTTTTACATGATATTAAAGTTTTTTTGTTTACCGTTAAAATATTTAATTTGAATTTTGATATGCATTCCCTCCTTTTATTTATTAATAAAAGAGATGACACATTTTTGCATATAAAAAGCAGTGTCCATTAAACCGTACCGTACCGGCGGTTCAACCACGAAATACCAGTATCGGAGGCTAAACCGATATGCGGTATTTACCGGTATAACGGTTGAACTACGATTAAACCACGGTTTTACCATAAAATACCCTAACGCTGACTTTCCCGGTACGGTCTCCGGTACGGTTTCATGGACCATGATAAAAAGCATTGGTTACAACTTACAACTTAACTATTCTGAGGGTTTTTTGCAATTTTTATGAACTTTAGTGGCATTACACTAAGACTGCGTATTTGCATATTTTTTATTTTTTTAATTTCTTTATCATTTTTTCTTTCATTTGCTAGTGAGCTCATTTCTCTCTTTTTATCATTTCTTTATATCACATATATGGAACCTCTTACTAATTTTTTTATTTTTTCTATCATGAAATTGACATATTTGTTCGTATTTGACGCGTATTCCGGTTATGTTCTTTCATTTCGCGTGTTCCGGTTATGTTCTTTCATTTTTGAATCTTGATTAATTGGCAATTTTTGTACTCAACTAAAGTTGGTCGATCAAGCGTATTCGGATCACGTGTATATTGGTGATGCATTTTTCAAAAAAAATTTGGGTGTCTGCATGGTTGCGGGCCTGGGGAGGCCCAACCACACAACAACATTTTCCAATTTTGAATTCTTATAGATCGACAATCATTGTGAGTTTACGGCTATTCAACAAAAGGTCGGTAGATCACGCGTATTTCAACCACGTATATTTCGTCGATCCATTTTTTATTTTTTTAATTCTTATCGACTGACAATCTTTAAGAATTTTATTCATAAAAAAATCTTTAAGAATTTTCCAACTATTCAAATATATTTTTTGTTCTTACATAAAGTCCTATTTTCGAACATTAGGCCTAATTAGCCATCGAGTCCAATTTACTCTTATAGGCTTATAGGTTAGAAGGATAGTATTTTAATAAGAGTTTGACTCAGTAGGTTCAACATTGTATTATATGAGGTTGAACACATACTTTCTTGAACCACTTTCTAAAACCAATCTTAGGGTTTTTATTTCCCGATTCACATAATTGAAAATTGTATTGTGTGAATTCTTATGTTTTGTTTAGTAGAGGTGACAATTTGTAATTCAATCCAATCCATTCTATCTACTTAAATATCCAACAATCCGATCCATTTGATCCAAATCTAATTGGATTGGTGGATTCATTGATTGTTGATAAATTATGGTTTACTACATATACTTTTTATATTAAACAAATTGGTATCTAAAATTATTTTTACTAAAAATATTGTTGAAAATCACTTTTGGTGCCAAAATTTTTAATTATGACATTTTAATATCTAAACTGGTCAAAATTTACATATCGGTCCAATGTTTAGATGTCATTTGAATCCATGATTCAATTCACCAATACATTTAATCCATGGATTCACCAATCAATAAATCTAATCTATTTGTCACCTCGATTGTTTTGCGTATTACTTTGTATTTAAAAACTACCCATCTTAATAAAATACATGTTTCAAAAAGAAGCGTTTAATCTCACGCGCGCTTAGGCACACCTAGGCGCAAGGCAATGGCAAAACGCTTCGTCTAAGGGTTATGCGCCTAATTAGGTGCTAGGAACACGTCAACAAAGTAAGCTGAATGTAAGTTTCTCCTAGCTCTAATTAGATGGAGCTAGAAAGTCAACATCAAATGAGAAATTAACATTCACTACGAAATCAATTTTCTATATCAATATTTTTTATAGCTTAAGAACTTTTTGAGCTATTGAGTTATAATTCTATAAATTTGTGAGCCGATTTTTCTTATCATTAAGTGTTTAGTAAGTTATAAATCATTTTAAGTGAAGTGAGCAAGTGTTGTAAATTACTACTTCATTCATCAAGCAATGTGAATAGCTATTTTTCTTCCAACACCTAGGCACACTTAGACAATGCCTAAACAAGCTAGGCGCTAGGAAAGATCAACACCAGCCTTACTCCTAACCCCTTCTTCAACCTTGATAAAATAAGAACGAAATAAACAACCTATGGAAAGAAAACTAAATGGTTTTCTGAAACTCCAACCAAGCTAGCTAGTCGCCCTGGTCAGTGGATAACAAATATAGGGTGGGTCAAACTAATTTCTGGTCTCCCTACGAACACTCCCACTAATCCATTTGACTTGTTGCTGAACGTCTATAAATTGAGAGCTCAACCATCTCTTAACTCCTCTACACACAAACTCACAACCAGCTTCTAGTTAAATTTAAAGGAAGCCTTTCATTTCCGCTCAAAATAAAGATGGTGATGAAGTTGCTGAATCATGCGCAGCTTGCTCTCATCTTTGGCCTCTTGGGTAAAATAATGATCACAAAACAATTCGCATAATCATTATTAACATGTACAACTTTCTCCCTCTCACAACCACTTTCCCTTTTTTTTTACAGGCAACATTATCTCATTCATGGTGTTCCTGGCTCCTCTGTAAGAACTATCTGCAACTACTCTTTCCGGCTTCTTTTGCAGCCAGATTTGTTTCTCTCTGCATCTTTTGATCATATTCATATACAAATACAGGCCGACATTTTACACCATCTGCTACAAGAAGAAATCATCAACAGGGTTCCATTCGATACCATACCTGACAGCACTAATGAGTGCAATGCTGCTGTTGTACTACGGATTTCTCAAGACGAATGCAACCCTCATCATCACCATCAATGCAATTGGATGTGTCATTGAAGTTATCTACCTCTCCCTCTATCTTCTCTACTCGCCAAAGAAAGAACTGGTGATCAGCAGCTATATATATATATAGCAATAGCATCCTTTCCGTCTTTGTTTATCACATCTTACCACAAAATCGCCTGATACGATCATGTTCGTTTTCCACACTCGATCGTTTGTCAGATGTTCACACTGAAGGTGCTGCTTTCTTCCCTGGGAACGTACGGCTTGATGATGCTCGTCACAGTGTTTCTGGTTCATGGATCCGCTAGGGTGAACGCCGTTGGATGGATATGCGCCGCCTTCAACATAGCGGTGTTTGCTTCGCCATTGAGCGTAGTGGTAAACAAATATTGCAGAGAAATGTGATTTACTATGTTTCTATAGCTATTCTATGTTGATCAATCGTGTTAATGTGTTGGTGGTGGCAGAGGAATGTGATAAAGACCAAGAGCGTGGAGTACATGCCGTTTTCATTGTCGGTGTTCCTCACCCTTTGTGCGACGGCTTGGTTCTTCTATGGACTTCTGGTCAACGATTACTACATTGCAGTGAGTAGTACACAGAAAACCCAAAAACTGCCCAAACTCCTTCAGCCCATTTTTCCCCAAGTGGTGTTGAATAATTTCTGTGTGTTGGATCGATATTGCAGCTGCCAAATGTGCTGGGATTCCTATTTGGGGTAGCTCAGATGGTACTCTACTTTGTTTACAATGATTCAGCTTCATCAAAAAGGAGAGTTGTGGACTGTGAAACGGGAAAGCAGCAGCAGCAGGAGGAGGAGGAGGAGGAGGAGGAAGAAGGCGACTGTGGTGGTGCGCATGTTGTTGAAGTGGCAGCAGGGGATCAGCAAATGAGGGTGGAGATGACGAGGAACTAACGGGGTTGAGTATGGAATAATTGGCCGTTCGTCGAGCCTGTCATGTCGCAAACTTGCAAACTGGGCTGTGCTCTGTCTGGAGCAGAGTTATTTTCAGTTTGATACACGAGAATCTTAACTTTGAGTTTGGTTGTTGTTGTTTTTTTCTGCTTTGTTTGGTTCGGTGAATTCTCACTGTTTTTTTTTTTTTTTCTGCTTAGTATCACAAGAATTGTGTTCTAACTATTTATATTTCGATGTTTTCGTTCGGTCAATTATCATTGTTAAAGTTTAATAGAAAGTACGTTAATTATGATGTGACAATTGACACGAAATATTTTGGACAAACAAAATTAGGACTGTCAACAACTTGTTAATTGGTCTCAATAACCAAGAACCAGTTGATCTCAATAACTCGAGTTGTTAGAAGATGTCTATGTATGATATTTACAAAGACATCTTCCAAAATTTAATAGAAAGAAAAAAATGAGTAATTTCGAGATTTAGATACCTTCGTCTCCCTCTCTCAAGTCTGAACCATCACTCGTCACTACCCACCTTATTGTTATTCGTTAGACATTTCGACCCTTGTTGACTCCAGTTTGACGGTTAGTTGTATCCTTAATTTGGAGGATGATCAAGCGCAGGAGCAAGTTGACGTCCTGGTTACTCAGACAGCTCAGACATTGCATAAGAGAAAGATTAAGAGATTGCGATCCAAATTGGATATGGAGACTCACCGTCTTGGTCCAATTGTATCCCTTCCTTCCGAACCAAGGAGGTGCAAGAAGTTGAGCATGGAAGTTCTCTTGGTTAATTTTATCTTATGGGTAAATCTATCTTCATCTGGAATGTTAGAGGCCTGGGTGATGTGGATAAGAGAGGTCGGATTAAACAGCTCATCAATTGGAAGAACCCTCAGATGATTGGTCTTGTTGAAACAAAATGGTCAGCTTGTATTGACACTCTCGTGAGTAGTATTAACAGCGGAAGAGATTGAGGTTGGATGGCTAAAGACTCAATTGATAGTTCAGGTGGTATTGTTGTTATGTGGGATAAGCTGCATTTTGAGAAATTTTCTAGCAAGGAAGGAACTTTTTACTTGGATATTCAATTCAAAGACCTCAAAACCACATATGTTTGGAATCTAGTTACAATCTATGGACCGCAAGAAAAGTCTGATAAGTTGGAGTTTGTGAAAATATTAGACCTATTCTGTCAGCAACAAGCCAACCCTTACTGTATCTCTAGTGATTTTAATATGGTAAGGGATCATAATGACTATCAAGGAGGAAGGCGTTGTCAGGAGTTGATGGATGAATTAAACTTTTTTGTGGACAAGAATGCACTATTTGAACTTCCCTTGGGGGGAGCAAGTTTACCTGGAGGCATAGAAATAATAGCAACTATTTGTCTCGCATCGAGCGTACATTCATTTCTTTTGGCTTCGATTTCATTTTCACTTATTGCATACTCAATGCTCCTAAGAGAGTGGAATCCGATCATAATCCTTTATTCATCTAGTGGGGCGATTCTACGAGGATTAAGAGACCTTGGCGCTTTGAAAACATGTGTGTTAAAGATGCCAGATTTTACAAGGAATTGGTATTGTGGCTCCAATCCCTGATACAAGGCTTTGGTAATGTGTTCCTTTCGTCAAAGAGATTGCACGATTTGAAGCAGAATATTAAAATTTGGAATAAAGAGATGTTCGGGAATATTCACATACAGGTAGTGGATCTACAGTATCATTTATAGTGGAAAAGTAAAACTGCATCCCCAATTCAAATATCTATGCTCTTAGAGTGATTTGCGGGTGCTGAGCTGGCTGGGCGTTTAGGCGGCCTTTTCGCTCTCCCCTTTTGGGGACCGTAACCGTCCTTCCCTTCCCTGTTTTCCTTTCTCCTTCCCACAGCAAATTCCATCTCCGATTCTGTTTTCATCTTCTGACTGTCTCGCCGCACTAACCGCATATCCATCGCGGTTCTCCAAAGCTTCCCTTCGGAATTTTCTCCACTGCTACGGTGCTACCATCCGCTACCTCCGGCAACTCTCCTTCCCTTTTCACGAGCATCTAATGCCGCCCTCAATCCTTTTTTCCGGCGACAGAGCTCAACTTACAAGGATCCCCGCCCTCAATTCCCCGTTTTGTGGTGGCACTCTTAGGAAACACTTGCGAGGTCCGCTTCTTCTTCTTCCCTTTGATTTCAGTTTTTTTTTTTTTTTTGGTACGATTGATTTGAAAGAATCTGGATTTAATCTATGTTGGGGTTTTGGCAGGGGATCTATTTCTTTTTGTTTGGCGCTTATCGCATAGACTATCAGAAGTCATCAACTGTTCAATTGGATGGGTTTGTTCTATCTCTTCCTTCCTCAAGGTTGGTGTTTGTTTACCTTTTAGGCCGAGATTACACCGACGGCAACGTCACTATGAGAAGATCTCGCAACACCTTCCGAATAAGAGTTGCCCCAGGTCCTCTCTGCTGATTGCAATTGGTAAGTATGGATTGAATTGCATCTCTCTCCTCCCAATTCCCCCAGTCAACAACGACTTCGGCTACGTTGTACTATACCAACTTTTCCTTCAATAATTTGCCTTGCCCACACGTTTTCGCCCCTGATTCTGCTCAGTGGATGCAATTCCTTCAATGAAGAAAGACTACAAACATGGTTGACGTCTGTAGCTTCTTCTTCAAAAAATTGATGCTCCTCACTCACAACATCTCCTCAATGCTCCTCACTCTACTGGTAGGTTCTGTGCATAATTGCTCAACAAGTTTGGTTTCTACTCCTCACTCAACTGGTAGGTTCTGGGCATGATGCGACCGACATCTTCCCGACGGAGTAGTCTTTATTGCAGCTGCAATGATTCTCTTCCCACTTCTAAGTTGGGAAATCGCGCGTTAGCGATACTGCCGATCGAGGGGACGCTTCTCCCATCCACATTCACATTCTTTCCGGGGTACTTCAATCCCAACCTTTTCCCCTTAGACAGTTTTTGGGTTGCGCCCAAAGTCTTTCTTTTCGATGCTGTCTCCGCCTAAATTTTGATCCGCTACTTCTTTTTTCCCTTTCCCCCTTTCTTTGCAGGCCGGTTACGATGTTGTTCACCCATTGTAAGTTCTCAGTATCCTACATCTCATTTATCGATTGAACATAACCATGTTCACGACCTTCCTAATTGGATGAATCCTCTAATTTAAAATCAATTCCCACATCAATGCAGGGGCTCTTCCGTTGTTTCTGTATTGGAGGATTTCCTGGATGTTGCTAGGGTTCCTCATGTTTAATTGCAACAATGTTCTCTTTCATTCGGTGTCTGCTTCAATGCTCCCAATTTCAGGCGCAACTCGAGTTAGGTTAACAATTGGGCTGGTGTCTTTCTGTGTATGACTGCCTTTTACCTTTTCGTTCATGTGGTCTACGGTGCACCAATCCTGGAAATAATTGCATACCACCGCCACTGATGGATGCCAGTTCTGTGATGCAATGCATTAGGTTACCGGTTGATGGCTGCTCCTACTCCTTCCTCCACTCCCATTCAGGATTGCTTTGTGCATTATGATCCTCTTGGTGAGCCCAAGGTGCTTTTCTTTCTTCACTTCACATTGGCTAATTGTGTTGGTGATCTTCAATTTAGATTGAATTTCTGGTGTTTAGGAGTAAATATTTAGGATTGGGCGAACAACACATGGAGAAGGTGTGGAAGGAAATGCCTTATTGTTCATGATTCCAGAAGAGCTTCAATTTCTACAATATTTGAAGGTATGGCAGATTTGGCATCTACTTTTACAGCCTGTACTTCGCTCTTACTGTAAGCTTTAATGATTGTTTCCTTATTGTTCATGATTCCTAACCCACCTTCTTCACCTATACAAGTATTGTAAATAACTAAATGAATGGTGTTTATTATCTATACTAATAAGAATTATGAACTGGGTCAGCTTCCTTTTACATTTATTGTCTATAAAACTCTATAGCGAATTAACGATCCACTGATTCTAATGTTCTATCTCAACTTGAAACTCCCTCAAATGTTATTTTTGGATTAGGAAGAATTCACTCCATTTGGAGGCGCTCAAGATTCAATTTGTCTTATTAATTTTTCCAGCTTCGTTCTATAAGTGACATCAATTAAATGTGCACGATGCTACCAGTTGTAGCTTGAATAAGTTTGGTATATCTTTATTGTTGTTTTAGAGTGGATAGCAAACTATGATCAACCTGGAAACTCAGAATTTATTTGTTTTCTGAATTTAGTCACAATCGTACCATAGGGTCAATATACTGATTTGTCTTCAGTTCGTTTAAAAAAACCAGATCAACTATTGATGGTAAAAGTATTATGGCATTTGTGAATGAAATTGTTGTCATAAGCTTCTGGGTTCATTAATGTGGTTTATGTGACTATAGTTTGTTATCATGGCCTCATGGGATCCAGTAGAGAGGACTTCATTGTGTGCAAAAGTTATCAACTCCAATAGTTCTGTTGCAATGAAATTCTTCTACATTTGAAGTTTCTTGCATCGAAATACATAATTTATGCTTGGTTATTCCTTATTTGTCTCAGAAGCCGAGATTGTAGAATGTGTCTCTACTATTTCAACTGACGTTTTATAGAATTTTATGAGATTTTTGCTAAGTCAAATTTCTTCTTCTCTCAACTTGCCGCAAGCGTATTTGTGTCAATCCTCAATACTTTTTCCCCTTCGAGGCATATCTCAATAGACTTCTTGCATCATCTGCTTTTGTTTCTCCCATTGCTCGAACCCTAGACTTCTTCCCCTTCTCTGTTCACAAACACAATGCTCCATAGATTGTGATTTTCCTTCTCTTCCATCCCACAACCTTATAGATATAATGAATTATATTTCGAAACCACCGGTACTGAGGATGGAATGCAGAGACTCGACGATGAGCTAGGAGTGAAGCGTCACAGGTTTGTTAAGGTCTGTCACGATTTTCATTTTTTGGTTTCCCTTCCCGCAGTAGTGGAGAACCAGAACATAAGATAAGTTTCTTTCTCCATGTTCGTCCCTTAATTCCCTTATATTCCTTCTCCCGTTCTAAATGATTTTATGTCTCAATAGCCCTTTCTATTCCATGCATTGGTGTTCACGCGCCTCCCATGCAGTAGGGCTGATTTAGTACTTTCTGGCTTGCCGGATGGTTGTGTTTAGGGGGAAGCTCAGTCTATGTGGTACTCACCTTCTGAATTCTCATATCACAAGTTCACAAGTTTTGAATTTGTAAGACATAGCGAGGGTTCCTATTTATGTAAATTTAGCTTTATATATCTATGTCTTGATTTCC